TCACGTATACATTTTCAAATAATCTGCGGCTTCAGTTTGCATTGTTTTTCTTCATCTCATTATCATATAGGTACGTAACATGTATCATCAAATTTCTAGCGGCGCATCCAATTTGAAATTCGCATCTGCTCTTCCTTACGGTGATACAAGCTACAGATAATTCCAGTATGCACACCACGTCCAATTAATTATGCGGCAAAAGAAATGAGTGTAAACTAATCTTCTGGTGACATCTCCATGTTATATGTTTCTAAATAGGAATTATATGTAACCCTCTCTTGGTTCGAGAATATTCTGTGACTCATTTCTAGATACCCCTTTTAATTACTTGCACGGCAATGCTGATTCTTTATATCAATATGTCCTCATTAAAAATAATTATCACTATTTCTAATGCAACTGCTATTTAGAACGGCAGATGTTTTTCTATCAATCTTAATGGATATATTATTTATGATATTTGTATAATTAAAATAATTATTAAGCATTAGCATATTATTTTAGAAATAACAGAGATGCACTAAATGCATTAAAAAATCTAATATTATTACCAAATCGCTCGATAAACGTTATAACAATAGTAATTTTAGATAAATTTATGAAATGTAAAATTTACATTTTACAAAACATAATTGTAAATATACTATCACTGCGAATTGAATTAAAATTTAATAGCAAATAATTGTATTCTTGTTGACAAACGATTCGGCGATATTTTATTACGAAGATCGACGCGATACTGCCAGCGTTCATCCAGCGACGATAAAAATCTTTATTGCATTGGTCGATCCTTCAATTTCGAAAACTTGCTAAGGCCGTACATTCTCGCGGCTCGGACGGTCCACTGGATTATTATTATCGTCATCCCCGCAAACTCCTCGCGAAAGTGCCGGATATCATATTATCCACGCGGCGTGACCTATCCCCATCCATTATTCTTTATCTCGCAGAGATATAAAAGAAATGCATTACTTATATCAAGATTGCTGGCCATTCCTTCTGCGCGATTCTTTTTACTGTTCTCCTTTTCGTGTGACCAATATCGGATGATACGTACGAAGCACTTTGTCAATTCCGGCCTTCCATTCAGCATATGCGCTTCATGCTTCCGCTCCGTATACAGGAAAACTGTCTTATTTATGGTTTTAATATCACGGTAACATTACACGTCATGATCGATAACGCGCGTGAACCAAAAAACAAACGATCGTCATTTCTTTCCATCGCCGAAAAATTTAAGAACGAGATTACTTATCGACATTAATGCAATCTTATTAAATATATACTTTTTTTATTTTTAGGCTAAAATTTGAATATTTTTGGATAATATAAATTGTGTTCATGAATTATAAGTATAGTTTTAATCATTTTCTAATTTTTCTTTAATATCATGAAGCTTTACTTTCAAGTTTTATTATATATTTTAAGAAATAATTAGGAATTACATTGTAATGTGTTAAAGGTATTAATATAATTTATCATAATATTACTGCCATCGATATAGCGTTAGCGCGATAAAAATATTTCGTTATTGATTGCTCAAGTTTACGTCTTTCATAACTTGTTGTTTATCAGACAATGACACGGAATTTTTCTTCAAAGGAAACGGAATCGTTTCCGGTAGTCCGTCTTATTGTCGTTAATGAAGAACATGTGGATCTAATGCATAAACCGTGTCGCAGTCATTGTACTTCTACCACTTGCCTTCTTTAATGCGATGTTTCCTATTGTCTTGTCTATACTGTTTCATAGAACCGTACATCCGCGACACGCCGAATCTTCCGGCCAAATCGAGCGCTTTGAAAATTTTTTGTCATTAACGTCGCAATCGGATTTCATATTATACGTACGTCTTCTTTGTTATAACTTGCTCTTTAGTGATCCCTAACAAGTATAATTAGTTTAAAATAATTAATTATAAAAAATATTTCAAAAGCAATACAATTTTATTTTAAATATAAATAATACTTAGAAAATTAATTTCTTCTATGAACTAAAATAACTCTGATTTTTCATTTCCATGAAAAGGAATTTTCGTTTCCATGAAAATCACGCATTGATAGTATGCAAATAATCTCATTCGCAAGGGTCCAAGAAGTCACTTCCTGTTTAGCGTGTACGACTTCACCTGTTCTGCGTAGAGTACGCTACGACTGCTGCGAAATTTTTAAGTAGCTAAATTGTCGGCATACCTGTCGAGAGAATGTACAGGAAGGTGTAAAAAAAAAGAAACAGGGATAGGCTGAATAAGTGGATATCGGTGTTCTGGGTATTTCGCATGATTATTAATTAGCCGGACATTTTTAACGTATTTTGAAAGTCAACAGCGTGAAATGTGACATATCCGGAAATGGGAGTAGGCAGGTCGTTGCGTGCATCCGTATGTGAAGTGAGTCTCTAAAATGCGCATACGATTTATGCTCGGCCTATTAACTCGCTACGGTTCCACACTGGAGAGGGGTTTTTTTTTCTGTAATCGTATAAACACAAAATAAAGCTAATCTACAGCATCATAATTGGAGAGCGGTGTTACGCAACACGCAGCTGACATATCAGATAAATGCAAGTGAATTAAAACCGTCCAATTATGCGCGTTAAAATAAGACTCAGTCACTTTTAACCGGTAATTATTTAAAAAGAGATAGCGTAGCATTGTATACGCTCTGCATTTCACCTCAAGCAATGTCGACAATTTATTCCAAGCAAACCGTCTGCCGAGTGCGATACGCGTTTATTTCCGCGAAACGGTTTTTGCCGATTTTGCATAATAATCATGTGTTACGTGGTATAATTATGAATTTAATTAGAATTTGATATTAATTTTTTCTGTTACTGCATCTTGTATAAAATTCTACGTTTTAACGCAATAGAAACGTGACATCTATGATCTGTCGATTATCATAATTTCTTGGAGGAAAAGTTATAATGCGCAGCAGGTAATTTGAACACGTAGACGGAGACACATGTCTACGATTAGGACATCGTCCAAAAATAAGCCGAAACCACCTGTATAGCTCGGTCGAATGACACCGGTATTAATAATATTCAAGGTGAAATTAGCGGCTCACCTATAAAATCGAGACGGAGGGCACGTGCCCCCGAAAAGAAAGAAAGCACGTTACGGGCGCGAGCGGGGCAGGTGATGACCGCGTCGGCGGAGAGACCGCTTGCCCGCGGGGGTGTTAAATGAGATCCGCAGAAGAATAAGAGGTCAGTCAGGTGCAGGAATATGAATTAGAGAGAGGATCGTGGCTCGATTTGTGCGAGCACGTGCAGTCTCGAATTTTATCGCGGTTCAACGTAACTCGCTGCCCTCTGCGCCCCAGAGGCAGCCCAGCTGCTCATTCCACTTTGGGCAACGTCTTTTATGCCTCTCTTCGCGAGCCTTACTTAGAGAGCCTCCGATGAATTTCTTATTTCGCTTTAGCGAATACCATTGCCACCGACCGCGAAAAATAATACGCTGTTTTGCCGACTTGCGTTGAAATTAGCGCAAATAATAGTCTTTTATTGATTAAATTTAGATAAGATATTTTGCAGTGTATTTTTTTCGTTTTTATTTGCCAGAAAGTTCGGAAAAACAATTTCGCTTAGCGTAATCGAAAAATTAATTATTCAACGTATGCAAATCGATTTGAAAATTGAACTGTCAGGTGCATGTACATCGACTAGATGCGCGAAGGTGCAGCAGGTTCATAAACGACGGCCCTACCTTATCCGCTGACCTGTCGTCTCTCCAAAGATTCAGCGGAAGCGAGCGATTTGACCGCTTTTACAGAATGCTTGCTTTGACCTCGCTACGCTTTATAATACGTTCATGTGAGCGTATCGAGCAAGAGCATTATTCACAATTATAAGAACTTATAACGCTGTGTCCATGCGAACGCATTAGAACCAAAAGCATTATTCATATGAGTTTGTAGCGTGGGAATGCATGAGAAATAAAAAATAATTTTAGTTACAATAATAAATAATTAATGAGAAACATTATCAGTGATATATAAATTTATGGTTTATGTTTTACTCTTAGTAATATAAGCAAAAAAGATTAAATATTTTTCACTTCAAACTTTACAAAATAATGCATGTAGAAAATGACTCTTAAAAAAGTGCAACTTTAAGGATTTTACATTCTTAATAAATGTCTCTGTTTCTCCCTTTCTTTTAAATAATTTTATAAGACGAATAATAGAATATTTATTACGCAATATTATTGACAATCGTATAGAAATATATGAATGCGTTGCTATTATGCTTTTCAACGGAGGTAGATGCGCGTCAGCGTCAGTAAGCGGCGGGTTTAATAAAATCGCGACACGTATCGTGCGTGCCTGCAAAAACATATTTTTCATCGCGTTCCAGGAAGTTCGCTTATTAAGGACTCGGTTCTCTCGGAGAGGCGCGATCGCCGGACGCCTCTCGAGCGTAACCGTCAAGTAAAACGTGCGACGAATGGCCGGCTCGATAAATGAGGCAATAAATTCTCTTGAATATAACCGAAAGTTACTGAGACTCTCATCTCCTTGTCTGTATCTCTCAACACAATTGGTCGTGCGGAAATTTTACGAGGACGCTTGACTATTATGCATGTATTGTATAAATATCTTGCCATCCTGTACTATCTGTAATATCTGTGATACGCGCATGCTGAATTATCTTTATTAAGATATGAATTGCAAATAATCATAAGGAAAAATTTCTATCTGTCCATAAGAACAAGATTTCAGAGCTATTCCCGCTTAATTGCAAAATAATATTATTTATAGTGTCGATAAGCAAACAATTTTTTAGCTTTGTCTTACAATGAGAGTGACGGCGTTATTCGCAAGGCGCTTAGCGCAGAGCTCAGCTCAGTTTCCGCTATTTGCGCCTGACATTTGTATTGATGATCGACCATTATCTCGTGATCAATATCAACATTGTTTCGAAATCCGTGCTCGACCATGGGATTAATTAAGCCATATCTCAATAATGTTGCAATAAAAACAAATTGGACTCACCGATACGATGCGCTGCAGCGGAGTTGTTCTGCTGATCTGCAAAGTTGATCTGTAAAATACGAAAGTAAATCCAAAGATTAGAGCTGTTTAAAATAATTATTTGACAAATAATTGCGCATACTTAACTTTTTACTCATTACATTTATACAAAATATTTAATAAAAGAAGTATATATTTATTAAAAAAATGTATAATGTTTAAAATGATAATATGTTAAAAGATCTAATAATTATTATAAATCTTTTACTGAATATTTTTAATTTTAGTAAATAAGTGCGTTACATTGCGTAAAATTCTATGTGCAACATTTTGCAAATAATAGGTAATAGATAAACGATAATTACCTTAAAGTTGCTCCGCCGATGCCCGATGCTCGTCCTGAGCCTCCTCCTCCTCTCAGCATAGGACGATTCACTCGCGAAAATCCGATTATTATTATCGCGCGTTATTTTATACGACACACCCGACGCGTACTTTGTCATTAGGACAAAGATAAATCTCGAATATGATTACACGGATACGTTCGACACCAACAGAAACGACGAAAGAAAAGGAAAAGAATCGAAAGGATTAGTAAGTAATTACTTTTTACGCGCTAGTATCATTACAACTATGATAGGTTTCAGCACAATACGTTTTCTATATTTTTTTTACTCGATAAATATTATGCGCAATTGCGCTTTACGACATTTAAAATATTTGAATATTGTATTGTGCAAATATGTGAATATATATCTAAAGTTAAAATACAGAATACATAGTCGCGAAAATATTCGAATCATTAAACGCGAAAGTTAATTAATAGGACAGTTTTTAATTGATTGTTGCGTATAGAATAATGTTATCTTATCGCGATAATAATCTTAAAAAATAATTATCACGAAGAAAGAAGTTAAAGATGTGGTACGGAATTAGTGGTTGAGATAGTAAAAATTGTATAAGGTTAATACGCCGAGTCGAAGCGAGAGCGAACCACGTCTACCACGTACGAGTGTCGCCGTGCGAATCATAAGAGGGCAGTAAATATATCAAGGGTAAAGTCGAACCGTTTCCGATTTGAAGGAATGTGAAAAGTGAGAAACAACTAACACTAAGAGAGAAAGGGGATATAGATCACGCGTAGGCTACGACGAGCGATGTAAACAACCCCCACCAAACGCCGCAACTCGAGCTCGAAATTCTTAATATTAGAGCTCTCACTCTCTCTTGCGGTATGTATCGGCGCACGCACGTGGTTGTTCTTCGCTTCCCGCATTCCTTCAAATAGACTTTGTCCTTGATATATTTACTGCCCCCTTGTGATTCGCACGGCGACACTCGTACGTGGTAGACGTGGTTCGCTCTCGGCATGTTGTCTTTGTACAATTTTTACTATCTCCACTAATTTTGTATCATACCTTTAACTTCTCTCTTTGTGATAATTATTTTTTAAGATTATTATCGCGATAAAATATTATTTTCTATACGCAACAATCAATTGAAAAATTGTCTTATTAAATATCTTTCGCGTTTAATGATTCGAATATTTTATTCTGCGATTATTTATTCTGTATTTTAACTTTACATATATATTCACATATTTGCACAATACAATACTAAAATATTTTAAATGTCGTAAAGCGCAATTGCGCATAATATTTATCGAATAAAGAGAATATAGAAAACGTATTGCGTTGAAACCCATCATAGTTGTAATGATACCAGCGCGCAAAAAGTAATTACTAATCCTTTCGATCCCTTTCCTTTTCTTTCGTCGTTTCTGTTGGTGTCGAACGTATCCGTGTAATCATATTCGAGATTTATCTTTGTCCTAATGATAAAGTACGCGTCGGGTGTGCCGTATAAAATAACGCGCGATAATAATAATCGGATTTTCGCGAGTGAATTGTTCCATGCTGAGAGGAGGAGGAGGCTCAGGAGGACGAGCATCGGGCATCGGCGGAGCAACTTTAAGGTAATCATCGTTTATTTATTACCTATTATTTGCACATAGAATTTTACGCAATGTAACGCACTTATTTACTAAAATTTGAAATGTTCAGTAAAAGATTTATAATGATTATTAGATCTTTTAACATATATATCATTTTAAACATTGTACATTTTTTTCGATAAATATATACTTCTTTTATTAAATATTTTGTGTAAATGTAATGAGTAAAAAGTTAAGTATGCGCAATTATTTGTCAAATAATTATTTTAAACAGCTCTAATCTTTGGATTTACTTTCGTATTTTATAGATCAACTTTGCAGATCAACAAAAGAACTCCGCTGCTGCGCATCGTACCGGTGAGTAAGTTCAATTTGTTTTTATTTCAATATTATTAAAATAATGGATTGGAAAATAATGTAAAATATATATCTTTATTACAATACAATACTCACACACAAATCATATAATATAATATAATATTAATTTAATATTAATTAATATAATATTAATTTAATATTCTTATTTCCATGCATTTTCGAAGTATTTGAAATTGTGCAGGCATTAATTTCTAAGGAAGAAAAAACTATTCATTATTTTTTAATAAATTTATTCTTTACTGCACGTGTTATATATTTTGGTTTGTAAACACGAATATTATAAATAAATATAAAAATTACATTATTTTCTAGATCTGTTATTTTAAAATGAGTAGGTTAGAATTGATTCGATAAGGAGATATAGTAGCAAGAAATAAATGTTCGGTCGACGTTCTTTATTTCGTACTAGCTTCTATCTTCTTTCCCATTCTTAACCAGATGTAATGTTCGCTTAAACGTATTAGCATAACGTTCTTAAATAATATATCACTGAGGTGCCAGCATCGGGTGAAGGCGAGATAAGTAACTTCCTGCGCGCATACACGCGTCTTTAACCGCAACGCAACCGCGGCGTTAATAGCGTATGTGAGCTACGTAACCGTGCCGATCGCATCAGGAACAGAATAAGACTGGACATAAGGCGGTACTTGTTCTGCCTCGAAAGCTCCACCTCCCATTGAAGAGTTTATTTCCAAACCGCCTTAAATTCATATTTTTTAAAGTCGGAAATTATGTATTACAATACTGCAGGAAGTTTCGTAACACAAAATCTTTATTTTTGTTTTTTATTATCTTTATCTTAATATACGAATTTTTAAGATAATGTAATCCTAAATTTTTTAAAATTATTATTAACTGCAATGATTGTAAAGGAAAATTGGATAAACTTAATATCATACATATAAACGCTTTTCTTTGCGATTAAAATAATACGGAGACTAAAGATTGAAACGCTATCGACTTTGTTTTAAAAAATTTATTTAAATTGTTTTTAATTATTTTATATTTTGCACTGTAATTCGCGTAAAACACAACTGTATTGTACTGGTTCGACTGGTAACCAGATCTGACCAATCAGCTTGAGGATGCCATAGATGACACGATATGAACGCGAGATCCATGTTTCCGAGTGTCTCGGTATTATGATAGCTGCGGTGGACCCCTTTCCTGTCACGTTCTACCTCGGCATTCCCATCAGAATATCCGGCTTTATGAGAACGGGAAGAAGAATATCATGTGTCCCGCCTCGTGTGAGCCGATCTCAACCGATACCGCACTATTTTCATTACAGTTCCGCGTTAATTTTATGAGAAAATCGAAGCGTGCGCGCGAACCAATAGTCCAGATCTCTTTAATAATGTAATTTAGATAAAACAAAGAAATGTATTTCTTCTTCACAGTAAATTTAATTCAGTGTTTTATACACAAATAATGCGTTATTTAATACTTGTTCAACGTGTGCAAAAACTTTCGTCTTTTCACTCGACAAATTTATGTAATATTTTACTCGTTCTCGAATTTGATTTACGCAACACGATTATCGCCACCGGTCCTACTTATGATAAAGCAACTGAAACGCTCATTCATTTGCATTACCATTCGCGAGCCAGCGCTTCCGTATGGCTTTCACCTTTTGCAACAGGCAGAGTGTGCGTGTATATAAGCAGGTTGCCGTAATGGCACCTGGAACAACAATGCCTTGGTTTAGCGCCATAGAGTTGTTCTGGTCGCATGCGGGGATCTGCATGCGTTAGGTACAGTGAGAACTACCTCACTCAAGAGGTGGATGAGAGGATCGGTTTCGATGCTATCGGTCTGCGCCACCCGTGGCTTCTTTTCCGCTCTAGCCACGATCAGGCTTAAACCGACTCCTTTCCACCTACTCCTGGCGCAATATGTTCCATTGCTGCCGGCTAAATTGGCGCTGCTCGATGTCAATTGTTAAACAATTAAAAGAAATCCGATAGACGCAATAACAGTATCTGCATAATTCTTTCACTTCTTTATCTTACGCTGTTGATTAAATTAATTATTTACTTAAAATTAAAAACAAATTATATTTTATTTGCATTTATAATTCTACCAATTTTTGCGCTTTGTACATGTCATAAAAATTATTTGAACATATTTCCCACAATTATATACGAGCTGTAATTTAATAATTACACTTGGTAAATTAATTAGACTAATAAATTATTTATTGCTGTTACTACCGGTTTATCCGCGCCACCATTAAAGTATCATTACTTATCATTAATAATGTTTATTGCCCGACAATGCGTCACTTGATAAAGTAGTCACGCTTCGTTACGCACTCACCCAATTACTCACAACCGCTACAGATAAGTCGCTCATGTATCGCTATTAAACCGCGGAACAAGAATTGACACATGTCGTGTATACGCAGCGAGCCTCAAGGATTCTCCTGCGAGATTTCTCGAGATGCGCTCTGTATAATACTGACATTTATAACAGTGCATATCTACCCCTTAGCGGTGTAACTACCGTAAGCTCTTATCGTATCACGAATGTATAATAAGCTGGCAAGACGGCGTCAAGCCACACACAAGGTGTGCGTTTACGTGTTTGATCTATGATCTTCCGGTGATTTTATCGGGCGGTGGACGTAAAGGATAGAGAACGAAAATGCAAGACGAATATCTCAGAACCTTCTCCCATTCGGTAAATCGGATTCTTATCTAAATGTTGCGCGATTAGATGGAACAAAAATAACTAATATGTTAATTAGTTTTCTGTAGGCGCGTCCACTGTGTCTACACTTTTGCAACACTGCGTATAATTTAACCTGCGTGCATAGGACGCCTCAGAAAGCATTATGTAATATTTTGAAGGTAGATCCTCTGATAAGTTTGATGTGTCGCTTTTTCCTCGTGTATCTATATCAAGAATCGTTCTGTAATACATGGGAGGCGTGTAGTTGTCTTATTCACTTTGATCGCAACAATGATGTAATCAGCATTGTACGAATGTGCGCGCGCGCGCGCCTCGCGCCTTGTTTTCTTTCAAACGCGTAACACGTAAAGATTATCTCCATGCAGATTTAAAGCTAATTATAAATTGGGCTCCGACACTACTCTGGTTTCCTTCATATGTTATTTTTCAGGCATTGTAATTTACTGCTCCGCGTAAGCTACTTCATGATGGATAACTGGATAAATATAGCCCCGACTCTATATTTAACTAATCAAGGACGAAATGAAGTCGAAAACTCGGCTAGGGTTTATTGCTTCTAGCAAATTTATTAAGTTAATAACGACCGTTTACTTAAGATGCGCCGCCGTATGGCCGCGATTAATCAGATTTTACATCGTTTATAGAATGTCATAACACGGTATTCCTGACAGATTAATGATCGCGCACTGCCCGTTCTTTCGCGCGGACCACACACTGCTACATTCGCTATAACAGGGACACGAATCTGTTGAGTGTCATCGTTCACTATAAATTTGTTATGGGTTTTCATCGAATTTAAACTTCTTCAAAAATTCAAGTTTCATTTAAGTTTCATTCATTTAAGTTCATCGTCCGGGATTTGTGCTCCACTGAGTGACAAAGAATTTTATTCAAATTATAATAGAAGTTTACGTTGAAATTTTCAGCTACGTTTTACTTTATCAAAATGAACATTTATTTATGGAAAAATTAATTATAACATTTAAATTTCTAATTAAATCGACAGTTGCAATATATAATACATTTTTCATATATAATAAGATTATAATATATTTGAAGATTAAGGTGGTCTCGATTTCACATGTTACATGAGAGAAACTTCCGTATGAGAATGCATGATGATTATAACATTCGCCGTTTTCGTCTGTCGCTCGTTGCATCAAACAAGATTTGGTCTGACTGATATAAACATGGGTTATGAATCACCAGATTGCCGACTATCGGCCAAAATCGATCAAACGTTCCCATTTTCATTTCATTTTAATATTGTAATTGCAACCTGTCCACTCGATTGATCCGCAATTCATATAATGTTCTCGTCACTATACCACGACTTTAATTCCACGCTGTTGCACAGTCATCGAGAGATGAAATCGCTTCTCTATTAATCGCAGGCAATTATGACGAAAATTATTGCTTTTATTATTATGCACATCTTTGCGTGTTTGAACACTCTTATATGCTGGAATTTTTGTCGAATACGCCCAAAAAATAATAAAATCAAATTTTTCTCCCAGCGTGATCACAGCGTATTCATTTTATTAAAATTTTTCAATAATTAAATCAGTTATTTTTTCTTATTTTTATTTTGGAATTGCATTTATGCTTCATGATCCTACAGTTTGAAAAAAATTGATAGATGATAATTCATAAGAAACAAAGAGAGATTTTTTTGCAAAACTTAACAGTCCACACTTCAAATACGAAACATTTCGACTTTGCGCATTGTTTGTGAACAATGTTCACGTTTTTCCTAAAATACTTCGCATGTGCTCACGTATTTCTCTCCGGGTGTGTAGACGTCAGGCCGGAAGAAACCATACATGAGGATCGGTCAGCCGTAGGGTCAAAAGTGCACGAGGGTGACCAGTGGCTGGCCGTCCGAGTGAAAAGCGACGGCGGCTCGTGGCGGAGCCGGAGAGCTGGAAGAGTCGCGAAGGAGACGGCGGGAAAGGTTGCCGCGGGGGAGGCGAAGGAGAGGGAAGAGGAGGGCATCTGCCTTCTTACAATTAAACGAAGCCTCAGAAGCCCTCGAAAGCGAGCGAGCGACCGTCGAGCAGTCAACAGCTGCGCATCTGAATACTAATTTGAAATGTTTACACACCCGCGTGCACTTACCGTGCTCTCCACCCGGCACTCACGCTCTCCGGCTCTACTAGAACTCTCCAGCGGTGACGGCAAAAAATCGCTGCGGAGACTTTTACGCTTTCGCCGTTCCGCGCTATGTGAGAAATACTTCAATGGACGCCACTGGCAGATAGATAGAAACGATGAGCTTATTACAA